CTCTGGGCCGTGGCGGCAGCAGCAGAGGCAGCGGAAACCTTAGAGGGGCCGGCCGGGAGCAGGGGCCCCTCATTACTGTTTCATGAGCCAGGGCCCAGCCAAGAACAATGGGGCACATGAGACCCAGGAACCCGATCCCAGCGGCTCACCTGAGAGCCAGGGCGGGGGGGAGCCTGGGCGGGGCTCCCTGGGGACCCTGGGACTGGAGTCCAGGGCCCAGGCTGCGGCCTGGTCAGTGCCCCAGGTGGGCACAGGCTTTCCTGGACCAGGAAAGTCACCCCCGGAGGGCCTGGGAGTGCTGAGGTGTCGGCTGCGACTCCAGCAGAGGAGGCCGAGGGGATCAGTTTCACCCCCTGCCCCGCAGCCAGATTCTGATCTGATCAGCGCTTGGCAGCAGGAGGTGTCAGATCCACAGCCGGGCCCGGCGCCTTGGCCACCCAGGGGACAGCGCAGCATGAAAAAGAGGGAGTGGCTTGCTGGACACTACCAAGGGTCCTGGCTCAGCAGCACCTCAGCCTGGCATGGCACCTGCTCCCACTGTCACCCCAACCCATCACACCCACTGCCCACTCCCCAGGCCGCCAGGCAGTCCCCACTCTGCCTGCCTGTCTGGGGGGTCAGCGCGGGCTTCAGTCTGAGACCTGCGTCCTGTCTGGGCTCCTCCACTTCCCAGCCGGTGGCCTCACCAGGGCCTTGTCTCTGTAGTGCAGGCAGAGGGAGGCATGCCCAGGATCATGGCCATGATTTGCCCTCTCTGTGCCTCAGTTATGTCATGCAGAACTGGCCTGAGCCACGTCCTAGGGGCCAGGAGAATTAAATGAGTCGATATCTGTAAAGGGCTCCACAGCATCTGCCCTGCCCATCGTAAGTATAATAACAACGAAAGAGCATTCAATAAACTGTAGACGCGGGCAATTGTCAGAGTAATGCTAAATGCAATCAAGACTCTGTGGAAGGGCAGGACCCGAGCACCCAGCCACCCACCTTCCACTGCCTGCCCCCGGCACCTGGCTGTGACCTGGTCAAGGTCATGTGACCCCTTCCCTGGCTCCCAGCCTCTGGGAGACTCAGCTGTGAATAGAGGGACAGGAATCCAGAGCCAGGGGCCTGTGGGAGCTGGAGTCCAAGGATTTCTTGTTGACCAGTTGGTCACAGTTGGTCATTCTTGGTGATGATGGGGACACCCTGGGACATGGCCACTGACATCTATTCTAGAGTAGCTGAAGATGTCAAGTGGACCTGGCCCTGCGTCTCTGAGCCCACTGTGATTAGAAGAAGTCTGGCAGGAAACTTCAGTCCCTCAGACTGGAGGTGCTTTCTAACAGGGGCTTTTCCATTGCACATGTTTGAAATCTCAGGGGCCAAGAGGTTAGTTTGTATTTTGTTTTGTTTGGTGCTGGGGATGGAATCCAGGGCCGTGCACATGCTAGGCAAGCGCTCTACCGCTGAGCTGCATCCCAGTTCTTTATATTTTTATTTCTTCATTTTGAAACAGGGTCTGGCTAACTTACCAAGACCGGCCTTGATCCTCCTGCCCGGGTCTCCGGGTAGCTGGGATCCCAGGCACAGTCACTTTAAGGTCAGTTTTTCCTATTACATCTGCTACACAAGAATTCCGTCCTCCATTGAGCTGGGTCCCACGGCCAGGCTCAGCCCTGGGAAGCTCAGGGGAGTTTCACACCTTGGGGTCTTGTCATTGGAGCAACTGGAAACTACAGGATTTGGTACCAGTACCCTTCTCTGGTCATGAAACCCACTCCATCTGAGGCTGCTGGGAGGAGGCCACACTCGGGTGTCTGCCTTCCATCATGGGCTGCGAGTCTCTGTCCTCCGGGATTCTCTGCCTCCTGTTACCTGGGGCTAAAAGCTGATTCAGTGGCCAGTGCTTGTCTAGAAACAGCTGTGTCCTGGCCCCGGGGGCCTCTCCTCTTCTCACCCCACACTCCGCCCAAGACTTTTGCTGGAGCCAAACCCCAACCATGGGCACAGCTCCATCTCCTGCTGCGGTCTGACACTAAGTGCAGCCCCGGTCCTCAGCAGCCTCCCGTCTGCACCGGGCCTGCAGGTGCCCCAGCAGCTCCACGCGGACCTCCACCCCAAGTAGCTGCCCACGGAAATAACGAGGGGTCAGCCAGGGCTTCCCCCTCCCCCACACCCAGATCATCAGCTGGTTCTCCAGGGCGTCCTCTGTCACCACCCCAAAGCCCCGTCCTCCCTGGCACAAATGGGTACTCGCACATTTTCCTCTCTGGTCCCTGATTCACTCCTGCCTCTCAGCACTTCATTCTCTGCCCAGAAATCACAGTGACTCTGAAAAATGCAAACCGAAAAACATTCATTATCACTTTTTTATTTAAATTCCTCAGTGAATCCCCATGACTGTCAGAACAAAATCCAAAAATCCTCAGCGTGTCCACAAAGCCACATGAGGCCCTGCCTGGAGAGACCCAGGCTCTGCCCCTTTTCCATCCAGCTTCATCCTGTAGCTTCAGTGTCCCTCCCTCTCGCTTACCACTCTCCAGCCACCAATGTGCCTCCTCCTTTCTGCCTCAGGGCCTTTGCACATACAGTAGTACTACTGCCTTCCTGGCACTTCCCCAACTTCAGTGGCTAATGCCTGCAAGCCTTTCCCTAGCAGCCAAGTGTCACCAGGGAAACCTTCCCCATGCGCCTACCCTCTGCCACTTGATATTACTTATGGCACTTATCACAACCATGACTAAATAATCACGTGCAGAATCTCTGACTCTCCATTTCCCTGACTATCAGCCCCACAAAGCAGGAATATGTCTGTCTTATTTATCACTATGTCCCCAGGACCCAGCACCATGGCGGGCACATTTTGCACACCTATTCAATATGAATAAATACGTGAGTTGACTCAAGCTCTTGGCTGAGAATAGGTGAGATTGATGCTGGAACTCACACCTGTCTGAATCCACACTGGCGTCTCCCCACCCGCTGGGAGGAGGCCACTAGCATGGGAGACAGACTTACGACACTTTCATGCATCTGTTGTCCTCAGGGACAAGGTGGCAGCTGTAGCTGGAGGTATCAAGGCTGGTGTAAAGGAGCCTCCAAGCTTACCTCTCTGGTCAGGAAGGGGGTAAAGAAGAAACCGCATGAACTGAATGGGCCCCATGCGGCTTGGGATAAGTACTGGCAGCGATCCGGAGTGAGGAGCCTGCTGCCCCCACGGACCCAGGAGGACAGTAAAGCCAGAGAACGCAAAGGGCCCAAGGCCACACAGCCGTTAAATGGAAACCCCAGGACTGCGCCTGCAGCCTGCTGGCTCCCAAACCGAAGAGTACCCTCCACCGCGGCCGCTTTCAGATCTAAACCCCTGCAAGAAGCTCGCTGCCAGGCTCAGGAGGAGCCTCAGACCCCACAGGGAATGACGAAGTCAGAGGGGGTCAAGGCTGGAAGGGCCCCTGGAGATCCAGGAGCCCCACGCCTCCCACGGTGCGTGTGCCAGGCGCTCTGGGATCACCGTACAGGGGCTTGGCATCGGACACACCAACCGCAGAGTAAGAAAACCAAAACCCTTTCGCTCTCGCAGAAGCTTCAGGAAGAAAGTCTTTGGCAGGTTCTGGGGTAGTTTTACCACCCAATGTCTGCTAACCTGCCTTCTTTGTTGGGGGAGGGTACTGGGGATTGAGCTCAGGGGCACTCGACCACTGAGCCGCGTCCCCAGCCCTATGTTGTATTTTATTTAGAGACAGGGGCTCACTGAGTTGCTTAGTGCCTTGCCATTGCTGAGACTGGCTTGGAACCCACAATCCTCCTCCCAGCCTCCAGAGTCACTGGGATTACAGGTGTGTGCCACACATCGGGTGACGCCCTGGTCTTAATTTCTTATTTGTGGTGGTGTAAAGTTTTGTCTCATATAAGTGAAAAAAAGATGTTGATTTGGGGGTTGGGAGTGCAGCTCAGAGGTAGAGCTTGCACAGGGCCCTAGGTTTAATCCCCATTATTCCCCCACAAAAGATTTTAATCTAAGATAAGTAATAGATTAGATGAAGCTATGGTAAAAATCAAAAACTAGAGGAAAAGGACTAAAGATTTTAAAACATCAACATGGTTCAGCCACCTCTTGTATCGACAGGTAAACTGAGGTGCTGGCCAGAAGGAAGCATTTGGGTTCAACTTCAAGTTCATGGCCAGGCATTGTGATTCCCCCATCCCAAACCACCCCAGCCACCCAGGAAAGCCACTCACCTGGTGTCTTGCTCCATGGGCCTCCTCAGGGTGGAGGCAGTTTTGACAGCAGCTCTGGGTAAGCATATTGGCCTCGAAGGGTTCCCAGGAGACCTCCTCAGCCTCATGCTCCATGTTGGGTGAGCCAGGCCAGGGCAGCTCCTGTGAGCCACTGGCTGACCTTCTAGAAGGGGCCTGGGGAGAAAGGGGGAGTAGTTCCAGGACCAGATGACTGACGAGCCACCCACTCAGACCCTAGCCAGACGAGGACCAAGGATCCGTGGCTACCCATTGGCTCATGTTCGTTTATTCACTCAGTAAACGCTCCTCAATACCGAAGCACCCAGGCACACTGCCAAGTATTTGACCTGTGAATTTTTAGCCCTTACTACAGTGCTGTTCAAAGTGTGTTCCAAGGACCCTTCATTACACAATCCTGGTCTGCTCATGAAGAAATACACATTTCCAGCTGCTAAAGAGGCCAAGGAGGGAGGCTTGCTTGAATCCAGGAGTTCAGGATCAGACTGGGCAACATAGAAAGACCCCTATCTCTTAAAAAAATGCAGATTCCCTATTCCTTCTCCTGATTCACTCAGTCAGAATCTCCAGGAGGTGAGGCCTGGGGGTATGTCTTTTAAACAATTCCCGTGGGAGATTCCAGCAAGCACCCCCCAATTTTAATACCTTTTTTTTTTTAAAATAGCAATCCTGGCATTGCAGTTCAAATTCATGCTAATTTCAGATCGGACAACTGAGCTCAGAGAGGTTCCCTGACAGGCAAGGTGCTGTGGCTGAGCGGAATTCAAATCCAGGTCAGTGTGCGCCCCACTCTCTTGGAGGTGCAATCAAGGGGCCCTAGGGTCACACTGACAGCTTACACAGTTCACTTGGGAAACACAAGGAGAGGCAAAAGGCTACCCAGGTATTTTTAGGGTTGAGGACTAAGTCTTAAACAAAAGTAAACAGCCTAAGATTACACTGCAAGTTTGTGACAGAGCTTACGGGAAAGAAACCCTGATGCTTTGACCTGAGCCCAGGGCTCCAATGTTCAGCCTCTGGAAACAAAGCTGGGTCAGGAGAGGGATTGGAAGAAGCCCTCCCCACCGGTAAGGAGACCAGGACGGCAGGGGCAACATCTGACTCCAAACACACAAACACCTTAAGGCTCCCCCTGCCACCCCATACTTACCGGACCTGGTGACTTTCCTCCAAAGCTCCCAAGGGATCAGGCCTTGGTTGTCAATCTCAGCTGAGAGCTGTGGAATTTCATGTCTCCACGGGGGCAGCAGGGGAAGGCTCCATCTCCTCCCCAGGAGAGAGGACCGCAGAGGGGACAGGGTGGGGCACCCACTAGCCCGCCCGTGGCATAGGAGCCTCGGATCTTCACGGGGCAGTCATCTCCCCGCCTCGCTCCCTGTGGCCAACGGTGGACAGATGCTCCGCACCACCTGGGCGGTTCTTTCCCGGTTGGTCCACATAAAGGAGGGCCGCCTTGGACAGAGAACGCCATTCATTTCCCTGGGGGCGGGGTGGGGGGCTCTATTCCACGTGCCCCCAGCTGCTCCGTTCTCCCCTACCCTCAATCAGTTGGCAGAATCTTTCTCTAAGATGCACTTTATATTTAACAACGAAAACCGTAAGTGGCCACGCCTGCCCCACCCGGAGAATGGACCCTGGACCTCTCTCCATCCATGCCGGCAGCCAGTTCCTCCCGCCTCTCTCAGCCCCCTTCCCCTCCCCAGCCGCCCTTTTTCCACCGCTCGCTGCTCGACGCTCACCTGGGCTCGGGTTTCCACGCACTGGGGCTGCGGGGTGCGAGTACCAGGGTCACGGCCTTTACATTTTAACAATGAATCAAAACGCTGCTGGGCGGTGGTAGGCTCGCTCTCAGAGCCTCATTTACATGAAGGCCGTGGGATTGGACCAGCCGAAGACGAGGGGCGGGGCGGAGGCGGGCGGTGCCCCGCTGCCTCGGAGCGCGGGACTCGGCACGTTCCGCCTGGGCAGCAGCATCCGCTCCCAGGCGCGGTTCCCAGGGGGCCCACGAAGCTGGCACGGTGGATCTTCTCTTTGGTTTATTCAGGCCACAGTGCCCTAAGCCGGCTTTAGCCGAGACTTCACCTCTGCGCCTGCTTTTGGAACAGGATATGTAATAGTACCTATGAGAATGAAAACAAACAGTTTGCACGCGGCTCGGGAGGCTGAGGCAGGAGGATCAAAGCCAGCTTCAACATGAACTTCAGTGAGACCCTCCTGTCTCTAAATAAAATGCAAAATAGGGTTGGGAATGTGGCTCAGTGGTTGAGTGCCCCTGAGTTCAATCCCTGGTACCACCTCCTCCACCCCCCATCCCTCATCTAACAAAACAAACAAACCAAAAACAAAACAAAACAAAAAAAAATAAAACACACACACACACACACACACCAAAACACACACACACACACACACACACACACAAACTGAAGTGTATCAGAATAGGCACCCAGTAAATACCAAACAGATGCACAGAACTAACACAGCATTGCAGTTGTGGCCTCGGGGACCACCAAACATCCCTGCAGGAAGGCTTCAACCTCCACTCCCCCCATTTCCACCAACTGGAGCTCAGGCCCTCCCCACGTTGACGCTGACCTTTGATCTGTACTGTGGGCACACAGGCTCCTGCACCATGCCCTGACATTCACGAAGACAGTGTCACCTACCAAGGGAGTCCAAGGAGGTCCTGGAGAAGGGGACCTCAACGCAGGATGTTGTCCTTGACATAGTGACTGAAAAGAGTTGTCAAGTGTCAGATATGAAGGGACAGAAAGTTACTTAGGAAAGCAAGGAATTCATGTTCAACAGAGAATTGGGGAATATGTGGGGGGAGAGCAACGTGTGCTTTGGGGATCTTAGGCTCTTCTTTTAAAGGAAACCTGGCGAGGGGTGTGGTGGGAAGATTCATGGGGACATCAGCCTGGTGATGACAAGACTGTTGGTGGCAGTCTGGCACTTTCAGGACTCTTAGGTTGGCATCTTCTCCACTACTGATCAATAGATAACACTGGGAAAGTGCCCCAATAGCAAGTTTTGTTTCTCTTTTTTTCTCAATCTATTCTAAAAATACCTATATCTGTGGATAATTAATAGTGCACAGGGAAATTTTCAAAAGTGAATAAATTCCCAGTGACTTCACACCTACAATCCCAGCTACTTACAAGTTCAAGGCCAGATTCAGCAACTTAGTGAGATCCTGTCTCAAAACTTAAAAATAAAGGGCTGGGAATGTAGTTCAGTGACAAAGCACCCCTGGTTCAATCCTCAGTACAGGAATAAATACACAAGTAAAAGACCATCGTGAAGATTTGTAGATTTTCCAGAAATGTGGGAGTGA